ATATTATCTGCTAAAACAATTATAATAATTAATTAATTAATTAAGTATGGGTTGCATGGGATCATATCATCGTATTATTAATAAAAAGAACGTAAGATATAAGACAAGTATGTAGCACAGGTTATTTACTCTTTATTAGCATTTTTCTTTCGTTTCGTCTTTGTCTTGAGAGAATTTACGTAAGGAATTTTATTTCATCATCATCCTCATCTTCCTCAATTAAGTTAAGGTTTTTTTTTTCGGAGACGAGAATATCACCTCGATGAGATTGAAACATATTATAACAATAATAATAAAGAAAAGTCCCTTAACGACAAAAAAATAATAATAAAATGAAAATGATAAAAATAGAATCACATTATTAAAGTTCAAGTATTTAATTTAGTTCCTCTGGGAATTTCTTTTATTTTTGAGATACAATTAAATTAACAACAAACAAATAATAAAATTGGCATAAAAATTTTGTTTTAAATTACAATAGACTCGAAAAATTCTGTAATTCAAAAATATTTGAATGGAATCTTTTCGAAGGCACCTGAAAGTTTTTAATTTATTTATAATTATTCTTGGTGGATTAGTAAGGACATATCTTAAAGGAAAAAAATTATATCTTAAAGGAATCAAATTTATATAATTTCAATAAAAAACAACAACAAAAAAGATAATTGGAACTTAGTTTAGAGCATACAATGAACGTGGCTTGGTTGTTTGATAAAAAAAAAACATTTTATATTATGGTGCTTTAAAAATGCTTTTCTATAATTTGTTTTATTTCTTGTTGGCACAAGTAAAGCCTTTTGATAGATTGTTGAGCATTAATACACAAAAACTCATTCATGGTTGAATCGTTGAGTCCCTAACAATTAATTAAAGTACTAAGGAAATTATTCAACAGAACAAAGAACGCGCAATAATCTCATTATAGAAAAAAAAATATATAGGAAAATAAGTAGAAAAGGAGATATGAAAGACCAAGAAGGAGCGAAAGAGAAGAAAAACTTTTTTCCCGCTTATAATAAAAATTTTCTTTAATAAGAGAAGAGCAAGAAAAATTATGTTGTTGAGCATTTTGCTTGAGTGAGCAACTTTAATCATCTTTTAAATTATTATACAGTCTGTACTTACAAAATAATGGAAAAGAAATAAATGAATAATATGAAAGCAAAAAATTTAAATTAAATTTTTCATCCTTACTTACATCTTTGCTTCTAATGAAAGCAAGCAAAAGTAAAAAAAAGAGAAATTGTAAAAATAATAACAAGAAAGAAATAAGTCATGAAGAAAAGTGAAGTGTACTTAGCCGTAAAAAGGGAGATATGAGAAAGGTGTGGATACTCTCAGCTAAAGTTGGGTATTGAAAATATTTTTATAAATTCAAAGATCCATTAGGTTCTTTTTAAAATGATTCAGATTTGATCATATTAATGAGAAAAAATTTAAGAAATTTTAATTAATGCTTTATAATCAACTTAGAAATTGGTCTCAGGTTGCGATTGTCATAATCAAAAATAGCTATTAGCCAAGATTAATATCCAAATTAAACCTAAGCAGCATGTCTCACCCTTGGATGCTCCAAGCTCAATTTTATATTCGCAATTTTATTTTCCCATTCTATTTTTCTTTAAATTTTCGCAGGAAAAACTCATTAATTAGTTTATGGAGTTGAAATTTTCTTCAATAAATTCAAAATAATGAGAATTTTTTCCATTTGCCTTCTCTTAAGATCGCACAATTAGCTCTACGCTTTCATAATGAATGTAAGCGAAGGAAAAAAAAAATTATAAAAATATAAAAACTTTTGCAATTTTAATTTCTGAAGCTTATTATCTAATAATGTTAATTGAGATTGTCGTTTCTTCTTTTTTAAACTTGAAAACATTTTTCATTTTCATTTTTATTATAATTATATCCTCATCGTCGTCATTGATATTTTTATAACTTTCGAATAAAATGCCATCAGTTTGTGCTAACTTCTAGGGATATAAAAATAAGGAAAATCAAGATTAAGAAATCACATAATTTACTAATGAAATGATAAAAATCTAACGCAAAGTTTTACGGTATAAAGTTATTAAAGCGTCGAGGGAATAAAATGAAATTTCAAAGAAAAAAGAAAAGTAATCAGGATGTAATTAACCTTTTAAGAGAAAGTAAAGTGTGGATGGAAAGGCCAATTAATTAAAATCCCTGTTCTGGAATTGAAATTATTTAATGAAATATGAAAGGAGTTCTAAAGAAATTTCATAAAATAAGTTTTTATGGAATTTGCGTTTAACCTTCTTTATCGTGGGTCATCTTTTAAAATGTTACTTTTTAATGTTCTTTAAATGATAGAATTTAGATTTAGCCATTATTTGAAACAAGATATGAATATCAATTCCTTAAAAATATGTTCTAATATTCAACAAATTTATTAAAAATCAAAAAAAAAATGCTTGAGCTATAGATTTACTATGAGTTATGAAAACAACAGAAAAAACACTTCAAAAATCTTCGTTTCTATTCAATTTATTTTTTAAAGGCCATTTAACTTTTCATCGACTTATTTTACGTACACTTTTCTGCATTACCTTTATGTCATTTTTTTATACTTTGCTATGTATTAATTGATAGGAGCGTAGAAAATCAGAATTTATTGTATTTCTCTCTTACCCATTAAAATAACACTTTAAATTGTAAGTGTATCAGTGTGTGTGTATGTGTGTCATGACGTTATAACATTCATTTCATTTAATTACGAAATTTATCATATTTACAAAGAGCGCATGTAGTTAGGTACACATCATCTTCGTCATGTTGTCCTTAAAATATTTTTAAAAGAGTCACTATTTTTTAATTTTCTATAAAAACTAGTTCATCTATTCTCGAATTATTCTTTTTATTAATAATGTTTCATTTTCATCTAACACTGTTTATCTAAAAACATTCAATTTAGATTCTTTAATTATCATTATTCTTATTATTCTTTATCATCATGATCAAAATAAAGATATCTGTGATATGTCTATAGAAACTTTTTCTCATTTTTTTTATTTCTCTAGTTTCAATTCATTATTATTATCTATTATTATATCTCATATACTAAAATTATACAACTAAAGAGGGACTTAATAGCCTTAGACAGACAGACAAAGATAGAGTATAGATAATTAGATAGAAGTTTTGCATTTAAAAGCTCATTTTTCACATTTTTTTTTGTGAGAGATGAAATTTGATTAAAAAATAATTTTTTGATTCGATCTTAATTTGAGTAAAATTTTCATTTCAGAAAATCTTATGAAATAAACTTTTGGATTTAACAAAAAGTTTTATTCAAACATTTATTTTGTAACTTTTAAGAAAAAGATTTAAAATTTTATAATAATAATGAATTTTTCTGTCGAAATTCCCATAGGAAAATCCATAAAAAGAAATTCAAACTTTTCGGGAAACTTCATCAAATACAAAAAAGCTTAATCAAATTAAATTCCATCTCTCACAGGAATTAAAACAAAGATTAAATTTAAACAAGAGAAACTTTCAACATTAAGTTTCGTATTTCTTCTTTTGTTCTTAAAAATCACAACACAGAGTAGATGTCATTTTATTTTGTATGCAGAATTTTTTTTTTCCTTACCACTTAAGATTAAAATTTTTTATCTACACTTACTTAATTCATTTTTATTTCCTCTGATAGAAATATTTCATTTTTTAAATGTAATCATCTACATAGCAGCACAGGTACGACAAGATTAAAAAGATTTTTTTTAATTCACTTTTCAATTTATATTTTTAACATGAAATGATCAACAAAAAAAATTTTCATTCATATTATTTTTAAAAGAAAGAGAAAGTCACGAAGAATATTTTTTTAAAAAGACAGAAAACAAAGAAAATGCATTAAAAATGTGTGAGTGTATCGAGTGTGTGTGTATGTGTATATTATTTATCGCCCTAATAATTTTTTTCTTTTCACATTTCGTCTTATGAATTAGGAAACTATTCAACGTCATTGACAAAAATATTCATCTCATTCATCTTAAAGTAATTTTTCTTATACTCTTATTTATATTCTTAATAAATCATCGTCATCATTGATTTGAAAGTGCCCTCTTATTTTTAGGATTCTTCAGCTTCTTTCCTTTACCATATTTAATATTGTATATATATTTTATTTCCTTTGCTTAGTATATGCTAAAGATTTAGAATTTTCATTTTTTTTCGTCATATTTTATAAAAAAGAGACAGGAAAAGTACGAAAAAAAATATTAAATAAAATGACGTAAGAATTATGAGGAAGATTAAATAAAAGACCGTAAGGGAATGAAAATCTCAATTGTGAGCATTTTATTTTTGTTGAGCAAATCCATTCTTATTAGTATTGCCATCAGAATTGAGCTAGTCTCCGAAATTATTTATTTGAGGACGAATTTGATTTCTCTTATGTATTGGAAATATTTTTTTTATAGCATAAAATATTAAGGTATTGCATAATTTTATAAACAAATGCCATCATTATTTATATTCTACATTAACAAACACATAATACAACCATCGTACGATCATCGTTTCATTATTTGAAATCATATGTGAAGCATTTTAATTCAGAGTTTGGAAAGTGCTTTTGCCATCACAGCAAAAATCACTATCATTGTAAAAATGAAAGATTCACTGATTGAATTGACAAGACCATTTTACAAACTCCAATCAATAATCTTCATTTTCTTTCATCCTTAAGGGTTAAAAGTGCAGGAAGAAATATATTTCAACCCACAATCAGGCAAAAGATTTTGCAATGAAAAAATATTTTTCACGACTTTCCAAAATTTTGATTGTTAAGCTTTCACCATGAATTGAACATATTTTGATTACAAATTAAATATTATTATTTTACTATGATTATTATTGAGAGATTCAATATTAAAGTACTTTAGCATCAAATTTACCTTTCATTCATTTGATTTCTTTTGTTCACTTCAAAATTATTATTTTTCACTTAATTAATCTTATTTTAAGTACTACTATAAAAGAACTTATAATCATATTTGCAAGAGAGATTGTCTTCAGTTGACATAATTTTTATTTTTTGTTTTCATTTTCTTCATCATCAGAAAGTTTTTCTTATTAATTTTAAAATTTTTTCACTCTTAAGATTCCTTTTTTGTTGATGTTGTATTCGAAAATATCAAGAAATTATAAATTAACATTGCTGGTTTTCAGTTTCTTGAGGCCGATGTGATTTCATGTGAGCGCTTCGACTTTTGACTTTATTAAATACTCTGTAAATAAAAGAATTTAGAGAATTTTTGTCTGAGTAAAATGCCATTTTTCATTGAACATTGAAGAAACAATTTTGTTCTACTTTATGATGATTTAATTTCTGCCTTCTCATTTCAAACATGAAAGAATGTTGTTATGGCAACGAAAGAGAGAATAAAACAATCCCCATGGCGATAAAAATTGAAGTCTAATAAGAGAAAAATTTATGCTTTTAGCACAGCTATTGCTAGCAGGCTAGAGTAATATCCAAAAAGTACAATTGATTTTGGTATTTTTTTTGTTCTTGCTTTGAATGTTTTAAAGTTTGCATGAAAGAATTTTAGGTCAATTTATTCAGGCTTAAAATTCAAGTAAAGATTATGACATGCAAATTTTTGGCTATTTATGTAAGGAAAAAATGTTTTTTAAAATAGCCTAAAGCTATAAATTGAAACAAAATGTCTGCATTTGACATAGCTTAGTACAAAATCTAGTCATGTGCTTTAGAATAATCAAATAAACAGCAGTTTTTAATTATTAATCATTCTGAAAATATAAATCTTTTATTTTTATTAAATTTGTTTCTTTATTTGCTATAATTTAATGTTAACACATGAACATGAATATCCTTTCAAAACTTTCTAAAGAGCTCATTTATTTTACATTTTAAATCCACAAACCCTCCTAAATTATAATCAAAAAGGCATTTATGTTACATATGTTTCAAGCAAAACTTTTGCCTTTTATAGCTTTAAAATTAGTATTTTAATACTATAGGAACTGAACCATGATCATTAAATTATGATTTATTATAAAATTTCAAAATTATTAAACTCTTCTCAATCCACTGTGCTGCTATTCTTAAAAAGCCGCACAGCTCATTAATCAAAACTAGACTAGCTTATAAGTTTTATAAAAAAAAATTATTTTCACCACTAGACAGTTTTAGGATTTGCCATAAAATGTTTCTCTTTACTTAAAATTCTAACTGTCAATCTTTTAATGCCTTAACAACGAACAACTTTACATTTTTGTAATAAATTTGATTCGTAGGCAGAAATAGAAATCATCATTCTAATACTGAATCAGCATTTTCTCGAGCACAAACGTAAAAGATGAAAAACGATAAAAGAAAGGAAAATTTACAGTACGACATGACATTAAAAAAGAATGTGTATAAAAGATGCTCAAAATGGAAGAGTGGGACAAGGTATAAACAATTTATTTTACTACCACAGGAACAATCAATGAATTCATGTAACTTATAGAAATGATAAGAACGGAAAAAAATTCTCTAATTTTCAACTGTATTTTTGAACTGATCTATAGAAAGGACATCTAACGAGGGTTCTTACTTGCCGCACACCTTGCAGGGGAAGGAAAATTCATCCTTTAAGCTTGTTCCCGCTTGATTACTATTGTTTATTAAATTACCATTATTCAACTGGTTCATGCTTCGTCCAATGCAGTGAATTCGTGTGTGTCCATGCAATGCAACGCGAGATGAAAAGCTCTGATAATTTGTGACGGATGTTGTGCATTATATATATATAATAGAAGAAGAGGTGAGGGGGACGAGAAAGAAGGAGAGAAAAGAAAAAAAGCGCATTAAAAATTGATGCATTTCATTAAAGTAATGATTATGATGATAATGATTATGGCATAGAGGGTGAGTTTTGTGAAATGAACATGGGAATAGCATAGCTGATGGTGGTTTATTGCAATAAAAAAAATCATGAAGCAAAAATTATATCATTAATTAACTTACGGCTGAACAATCCGGTACTTCGCACACATGCGGTCGCAATTCATTATTGTGGCCAGCGACAGTAGAATTAATATTATTGTTATTATTATGACCAATTCCATTTCCGTTTTGGATCGTTGAATTACTCAAATTATTGTTATCGTTAATATTTTCAACATAATCAAAAAAATCGTCGCTGTTATTGTTATGTTTATTATCATTGCCTATCATATTGCAATCACGAGATGACTGTTGTTGATGATGATACTGATGGTGCTGATGACACTGTTGTAAATAATGTTGTTGTATTTGCTGGTACTGTTGCTGTGGTAGATGCGTCGATTTATATTCATTGCACAATTTCTTCCAAAAATAATATAATTGAACACAATCACCAGTTGTCTTGTTAAAGATGCCTCGTGCAATGCTTGTAAAATCTTTGCCATACATTTCTAATCCCTTTAGGAATTGCTCCATTTCAGTTTGCGACCAACGTTTCTCTAGACTTTTGTCACTGCTTTGTAGTAATTTCAGAACAGCCACATGTACTTCACCTTGTGATTCCATAAGTATCTTTAAGGCAGACTCAATTGAATGGGTGGGTATAGCTGACGATTTTGTTAAATCGATGTAACGGTCTAATTGACGATCATCTTCGAGAACATTCGGTTTCCATAGTAATGTCTCATATGTTTTCTTATCCTCAGACTTAACGCTATTGTTATTATTAAAACTATTATTGTTATAAATTATTTCCGATGGCAATGTTGCTTGATAATCCGTGCCAATATTGACTCGAGGCTTTTCAAAAAAATCAATCATATCAATCTCATCATCAAAATCATTATTTAATCGATCGATTGGAACAGATGCATAGAGTCCAATGCCATATCGTTCTGGATTTAAAATTGGTGACGGTGTATAATGCAATTGAGATATTCTTTTCATCTTTGATTTAAATTGCTCGTGTTTCTTAACAACCACTTCGTACTGCTCGTTTAGATTACAACTAAGGTTATTATCGTTAAAACTATTAAATTTTCTTCTATTAGAGAGCAAAGCACTTTGTAAAATTTTTGGTGATGAACCGGATGATGAAGATGATATGCTATTTGGACTCAGGAAGACTGAACCAATATTATCTTTTGTTAGAATTTGTTCCGTTTGTACACTTAAAAGATTCTTATCACTATTATCACTGGATTCAATTATTGGACTATTATGATGACTTTCAATTTTAATTCTCTTAGTTTCTGGTGGCGAGAATGGATCAATATCAAAATTTGGTGTTTCGTGTGATTGTGAATTTTGTAGAGACGAAGAATTTGACGATGATATCAGATGCGGCTGGTTACGATGATGTCCAAAATCACGTGGAACTGACGATAGGAGTGGATCATCGGAATTCGACATCATTTGTGATTGTAAAGAAAGACCAGCTGATAGAAAATATAAATCTAATGTTGATCCAGCACCGTCATCTTCATTAGGCAGTACTTCCTCTAATGCCTCTTTAACCTCTTCAGCCGTTGACATAGATGAGAAAAATGCAGCAGATAATGGTGACGATGCATTCACTCGATCATCATCGACAATATTAAATGCTTGTGCTTCATCTAAGAAATCTAAATTTTGATTAAAATCTTGTAATTTGGCACTATTATCACCGATGAATGTTTTTGAATCGTTATTTAGAAAACTATTATCTAATATGCTTTTATTACTGTTACTTCCACTGCAACTATTACTGTTATTATTTCGAAACTCCTCTAACACTGCCTTGCTATCGTTGAATAATTCATTTTTTAGTTGTAAGATGCGCTCACTCTCGGTTAGATTACTATTGTCTTTTGTATCTTTCATATTGTGAAACAATTCATTGCTATCATCCAACAGTCCAAAATCATTTACACTATTATTATTATTTTTCATATTTGTCTTTTTATCGTCATGGAAAAATGTACTGACATCAGAGAAATGATGTGAGTCGTCAAGGAATGGTGAAGCTTGTGCAATTGCTTCATGACTTGCAGGAGGAGTTGGATATGCTAAAGGTGATGGTAATGGTGATGATGATGTTGGAGATTCATTGCTGCTACTGCATCCATATAGAACATAATCTTTGGAATTTAAAGTACCAAATTCAACAAGTGAATCGGGTAGAGGAGAATCTAGGACAGCTTGCAATTGACGTGATGGCGTGAAACTTTGATTGAGCGATACGCTATCTGATAATGATGTATAATCACTTAGGGATGCAATATCATCAAGATGATCTGATGTGGAATTATCTTGCAATAAATGTATTGAGTCGACAGCTTGCAAAAGCATTGCAGTGTCATTAACGCTATAAACATCACTGTCACTTAGAAAGGATGGGGAACTATTTGCTGAATATGTGAGTGCATAAATGTCTCCGGATGAGCCACTCGTGCTGGGTGCTTGAGATATTGTTAATGATAGTGGACTCGATGAGCCATTCGATGATAAAACTAATGATGCTGGCGAAGAATCTGATACAGACTCTGTTGTGGAAATTGTTGCAGGTACCACAACTCTTGTTGTGTGCATGGTATTGTTACCATTTGAGTCTGTAGATGCTCTCTTTACAGCAACTTTTGTCGTTCCACGTTTCAATAGCTCAATTAATGTTGCATCTTTTTCGCCCGATAATGTCGATATTTGTGTCGCCTTCTGAACAACATTTGTCGTCGTCTGTTGAGCGACTTGTTGCACAATTGCTTGCTTCGCAAGTCCATTAAGTGTATTTGATGTGAGACCAGATGCTACTATTGTGATTGTATTGTTATTAGTATTTGATAATGTGCTCACATTTTTAGCATTCAAAAAGGCTTCCGCTTCTGCAAGTCGTCGTGTTGTGGACAATGGTGCTGCTGGTACAACAAATGCTCCCTGCAAAGACATTACAAATTAAATCATTTGATTTTCCTCTCTTCAACCAATTTTAGATCTCATTTAACAGCATTTTTATTACAAAATATAAAATTAATTTTTCATGCTCGATTTACCTTCAAGTCTTTGCTTCTCTTGTTGATTATTTTCTCTTCAATTAACGCTCGAACACCAACCGAGGCTGTCTGCAGCGGTGGTCCTGACGATTCCTTTTTGTCTGATTTCTTTGAATCGGTATCTTTTTTGAAGTAGCCTCCATGAAGTCTCATATGTCCATTTAGTGCGGGTATATTTTTAAACTTCCTATGACACAAATTGCACTCCACAGGCTTCTGATCACCCCCATTAGCACTAGCATTTTTTTGTGCTTGTGTGGTATGTTGACTATTTGTTGTTGTTGTTGACGACGTTGATACTTGCTGTTGATTGGAATTAGATTTCACAGCAGCTTCAATAGTTGTTGTTGATGTCTTCACTTGATTTTGCTGTAGCTTTTTGAAAATACAAAAGAATTGCGAAAAGACCTTTAATCTCTAATTAAATTAATTTCATTATTTAAGGATATGAAGTGATTTTATCAAATGAAGTTAGACAATTACGGCAGATCGTGTACATCTTCCAATAACTGCCATATATGTTTACTAATGTAAAATAAGTCGGGTTTGATCGGAATCGAACACGAACCTTAAAAAGGCTATTTCTGATCACTCGATCAGAGATCCCTGCTACTCGACCATCGAGGTACTTTTCTCATTTTGGCTATCCGTCAAACACATATAACCAGTTCAACGCGAACCTTATGCTTAGGACTATCTACTACAGACATGCTCTTTGAGCTATATTCACAGTTTGGAACCAATTTTAAAGCATGATTCACTTATAGTATTTTAAAAGAATTCAATTAATTTATAGAAATAGTATCGAAAAGTTTATCGTTTCATTTGAGACGATTTTAACTCACGAAATGCACGATACGAAAAGCATAAAGGACGAAAAAGTTTCTTATTTATTCTCGCATGAGTCACAAAGTATTGAGTATAATTTAATTCCATTAAAATTTCATTTCTTTGATGCCATTACTGCGTACAAAAAGATATCTCCATCTCTCTTATTTTTTTTCACCATCGTTTGAAAGCGTTGTCTTCATTTACTCTATGTCTCTTCTGTCTGATTTATGTGCTTCAATTTTTAATGCAATATAAATTTCAATTAATGTCGAGTACTTTTATTTCTATTTGCTCTTTACTTTTGCAATTGCCATTTTCCCATTTTTCATTTCATTAAAATGCAGCATAAGAGGAGAAGGATGGAACAAATTTACTAAAATATTTAAATAAAGTTTTTCTTTTCAATTTCTATTCAAATATTTGACTATGACGAGTGCACTGACTCAGTTGTTGTAAAGAGAAGTAAGGATTTAATGCATTATGACTGCATTTTATAAACGGCACTCACTGTCGTGTGAAAATATTCTAATTCCATTCCATTCATTAATTATTTCACGACTTTACAGCCGTTTTGCTTAATAAAATATTTAATAAAAGTGAGAATGAGCATCTAGAAATCCATCCATCAGTTCCTTTATCAGACAGTGTAAGCACATAAATTCATGACTTTTTTTTTCTCATTTTTCAGTCACAACCCTTTGACATTTTAAGGCACAAAATATTCAGGTTTAAAAAGCATGACGAGTGTTAATAATAACAATATGATGATATAATAAAAAAATGAAAAATATGAAGGTTGGATTGTTTAATGAAGATTGTATGAAAGGAGATAAAAAGTATAAAAAAATGTTTATCAAACAGAAAATGTGTTTCACACAATAACAGCTCAAACAAAGAAGGTTTGACATCATCGTTATCGTCATCATCCATGGAATGGAATATAAAAAAGTTTCAGCATATACACATGTCAATGTATAACTGTGTAATTTAGACAGTAATTAAACAAAGGGATAAGAAAAATAAAAGGAAAAGTTTCGTCAGCGTTATTTTTTTCAAATTGGAAGTGATGAGCGCATTATTATGACAAACAAGCATTCAACTTTTACAATTTTGTCAACTTTTATGAACAATAAGTTTGTTAAATTTCAAACAAAATCTTATTGTTCCTAGATTCAAATTTTCCATCCAACACAAATTGAATATTCTGTTGTGCAAGTCTAAATTCTTAGATGGACATCGCAAAAGAACAACAAAAAACTAAGTTTACATGTTAGTTTACATAAATGATGAAGTCAAACTGAGTTTCAAATGCTTTAGTGCTATCAGAAATCAAAAGTTATTCAAAAGGTTAGAATACATGAGTTGGTTTTTAAAAAACGGAATAGAAATATGTACAAAAACTGAGGTTGTAAAGCACGGGGCGCATGAGGATGATGATGATGATATGAAATTTATGTAAAATTTCTCGTTCTCGGTTTTTATTAAATTCTCATGCGGTTATTTGCATGGTTTTTACAGCACAAATTTTCATCTCATTCCATTCGCATCGCATCCATTTATGCTTCATCTCTCAATGTCTCTATCTCACTCACTCACTCTATCTATGTCTAGATTTTTATGAGTTCATCTAACATCGTCATAACATAAACATTCAAAATAGCACAAACACACACACACACTTCTTCTGTTCTGCACATTCCTTCATATTCATGCTGAACTAAAACTGAGACTCTGTTTTGTGTGCGGTGAAAATTCCTTTCTAAAAATGCAGCAATGTTACTTCACTTTAAACTTTATGAATTTGCATGTAATAATGCTCTCGGCTCCCTTGGTCGATGTGCTATGGTTAACCATTTTTTAATGGAAATATAATTTTTATGGATGTTAGTAATCTTCTCATATGATGAACAAGTAAATTTGTGTACTTTATCTAATGCTTTGACTATGACAAAAGTATGAAATAATTTAATCAGCAGAAAGGAGAAATAAATTTTAATCCTTTTCTGTTCCATTTCGAAGAAAAAGTTATTTTTGTGACTTTATAGAGAGAAAAAAATTTAATTTTGAAAAATTTTATTCGAGTTTTCATCCCACGACTCACAAAATAAGTTTATCGGATTCCACATCAAACTTCTTTTGCCTTTTTTGTAATCTGTGGACAGACTTTTCATTAAACTGATTAAATTCAGAATTTTTGTGAATAGATTGAGAAATATTAGAAAGTTTTCAAACTTTTCATTGAAATGGTTTTGGCAAAAAAAGAAAGAAAAAATAAAAACAAGCAGCATAAAAACCAAAAGAATATCTGGAATTTTCTTAAACTTATTGAAATTAAATTTTCCTTTCTGGCAATTTTTCTTCTTCAATTATGGACTTGAAAACTCAACAAATAGACTTTATTGACAGTCTCGTATTATTGAAATGAATTTTTTTTATATTTTTGTTCCTTCTTCTTTCATTCATTGCTAAAATTTATTTCCAATTCTACTCCTTTTACTTTTTTTTCACCTGATTTTTCACTCAATTCAATTTCTTTATTCTATTTTTATAAGTTTTTTTCGTTCATACTTCCTTTTGCATGCTTTGAATCTTAACATATATTAGTCTGAACAGTCACTGGCTGTTATTACATTTTATTTTATCTTAAATTCCAAGAAAAATAAAAGAAAGGTAAAATGTAAGAAAAGAACGAAGTTGTGAATCGCTAGAAAACAATGGAAGAAACAATTTCATTATTTTTGCACCTGCTGATATTTCTTTTGTGTATCATATTTCTAGCATTATGTAGAAAAAGACGAAAATATCGAATAAAATTTTAGTATGTAAAAATTTTATTGATATCATGTGCAAATACGTTTCTGCTTATGAATGAGAATCTTGGTACAAAAATAGAATGTTTATTTTTTGATGATTTTTTTATCAGGTTTTATACATTTTAGCAATTTTTTAATGTTTAATAATTTTTGATAATTTTGTAAAATCAATGATATGGCATATGCTGTCAATATTTCCAATTTTTTTAAAATTTATTTACCACTCTTTTTTTTCACGAAAAAACATTGTTTTTTCATAATTTTGTAGTTTTGAAAATGCCGCGAATCAAAAAGAAGATCAATTATCTAAGAACAATAAGGAACCGCCATAAACACAGTATTAATATGATCCCTGAATTTCTTGATAGTGCTTACCAGAACTTGATATTTCCTCCCTTCTACTACTTATTGCTCAAATCTCAGATCTTGATACATAAATTGAATATATGACACCTTTATGTAGTTGTTTATAGCATGTAAGTGAATATTCTCATTTTGATTATGTATCGTATGTGTGTCTGCACATAATGATTTTACGCATTTTTATGTTGGAGATGGGAAAGATCTACTTTCATATCCTACTTTTATGATATCACACTGTATGAACATGGATTTCAAGAATTAAATTAAGTATGTGAGTAAAGTATATCATAAAAGCACATAATACGTATAAGAGTATGAAGGCTTATGGAGGTACGTAAGTAGAAGCATAAATATCACAGTAAGAAGGATTTTTTTTTATGAAACTAATGTCATATGATAAAAGTAATCAATTCAATCTTGTTTTTACCTGCATATTCCATGTTCTCGGTCGTTGTGCTGTCGATTTGTGTCCGTTCGCATGCTTCGTCTGTTGCATAATTTGACTAATCAAATCCAACTGTTGACGTGTTAATCCTTCATTACTCGTCCCAGCAGGCGATGATGGAGATGGCGATTTTGAATTGATTGCAGTAATTGTATTTCCATCAGCATTCATCTGATATTGAATACAGGTAGCACCATGCGGTGAACTGGCATCACCTAATGTCAATTTTTTTTCGGATTAAAAAAAGGTAAAAAGTTTTTGTATGAATTTTTTATGTTCAACATCCAAACTAGACATAATACATAAAATAAAAAGAAAGAAACTACTGTGGATATAAAAAAAAGTTGAGAGAATTTACCGCTTGCTGTTGCGGGTGATAAACTGGGATTGGTAATTGTTGATGTACCGCTGCTTGCATTATTGGACGACACGCTGTTTGATTGATTTTGTGAAGATGACGTTGTCGTTGTCGCAAGAACCAATGAACTATGATGATTCTCGGTATGTCGTCTCAATGAGCGCGCATCACAGTAAGATTTACCACATCCTTCTGCCTTACACTCATACGGTTTCTTATTGCGATGTGTCAACATGTGTCCATTTCTATTATCATAGATAGATTTTGGTTGATATTATAAAAAGGAAGTGAAACAGGATTATATAGATTAAAGGAAAGAAATTAAATTTCCATCACTTACAGATGATCCTGACGCTTGAATGCTTTTGAACACATGCCACATACATATTTTCTCTCATCACTATGTGTCAATTTATGCTTTGCTAAGGCTGATGCATTTCCAAAAACTTTACTGCACACCTGCAGAGAGAAAGAGACAAGAAAAGAATGAAAAAACATTTTATTGGTACTAAATCGATTTTCTTCTTCAGTCTTGAATTCATAAACGTCCTGTATTACTTAAAAATTGATAAACAATTCACGAAGCGATGCTTGAACATTAAGAGGCTGAACAATTTTTGAATATTTGATGATTAAATTTCCATCCGTTCAAACCATTGAGTGAATAAAGTAGGGAGAGTGAACGAGATAAAGTAAGCAAATTTATACAGTTTTGAAGGGTACAATAACTTATAAGCTGTAAGAGCAGTCAGTGGTAGAGAGTAGCAACAACGTCTGACATACAAATGAGTGTGAGTGACTTGAATTTTAAATAACTTGAAAGATTCATGAAAGATTTTTACTTGCTTTGCTACTGCTTTTGAAGCTTTAGTGGCTTTCTCCAATGTATTACTCTCTTTCTATCCTTCAAGTTCTTCCTTCACGAATAATAATAAAAAAAAAGTTTCAAAAGGAGAAGAGAAAGAATGAATGAATGTTTAACATTTTTGAACCATAAAAGCAAAATGTGAAATAAGTTTGACACCGTCGACATATTGCCATTTGTTAAATTCTTATTTAGGCTCATTCAATTTTCCTTTTCTTACTTTGCTCAACATCTGACTCCTTTTCCCTTTTGTCAATAAATTATTATGAATTCATTTCATCCTTAAGCTAAGAATAAGAACTTTCATTCCTATCCATTCAGAAAAAGCTGTATAATAAAACTGTTAAAATTAAATATTTCTCTTCATGCTCCATGCTCCATGTTGGTTTAAGATTTTAGCCTCAAATTTGAGGATGAATAGAAGTGTGAAAATTGTCACTATGCATATACATTCAGTTATTCATTCATAAAATCCAAAGAAAAATTCCTTGAGGAGAAAAAAAAAAGCTTTCGACAATCCAAACGAATGACGAAATAAAACTTTTGTGTGCATAGTCTATGAGCTGTAGACGTTAAGGCGATAACGAGCAAAAACATTCTCAAGTGTTTATTTTGGTTCTCTCTTTAGAGCACTGTGCAATGATTAAGAATTGTATGTCCACACATTGACAAATATACGTTTAGGAAAGCAAGATGATAGCCATATCATTAACCCTCATATTCAAGTACTTTTTCATTCCCACACATGTGTTTGCTGGTTAAAACATATTTTATGACTATAACCCATATGTTTAATTAAAATTACACATTTCATATGTTTGTGCGGCAATTTTTTAAATTGTAGTAGAATCAAAAGCTTTGTGGTCTTGAATCTGCAAAAGCATTTTACGGATATTTGGTCAGAACACTAATCTCATGTCTTTTTCCCCACTCATTAGTCATTCTCGTTATCCAATTCATACAAAGGAAATTTGTTTATGCTACCTTGTGCCATTTTAATGAGATGGTAAATGAAATGATAATATTGTAATATGACAAAGCAGAATCGGAGAAATAAGGATTAGAAAAGCTGAATAGAAAGCTAATTCATTATTTAAACTAGTGTATCGAGTAGAAACCCAATGCAGATTATATTCACACCGTGCTATCATAAGTCTTATGGATAGACCAAGATTTGCCCATCATAAGTATGAAGGTATGAAGCTTGATAAGTCAACTAAGCTTCGCTCAGCATAAGTTTAAAGCTATAAAGCTATCGCGTAAGCTGAGCTACGCTCAGCATAAGTTTGAAGATATGAAGCTAGAGAGGCAGCTGAGCTTCGCTCAGCATAAGTTTGAAGATATGAAGCTATCGCGTAAGCTGAGCTACGCTCAGCATAAGTTTGAAGATATGAAGCTAGAGAGGCAGCTGAGCTTCGCTCAGCATAAGTTTGAAGTTATAAAGCTATCGCGTAAGCTGAGCTACGCTCAGCATAAGTTTGAAGATATGAAGCTAGAGAGGCAGCTGAGCTTCGCTCAGCATAAGTTTGAAGTTATAAAGCTATCGCGTAAGCTGAGCTTCGCTCAGCATAAGTTTGAAGTTATAAAGCTAGAGAGGCAGCTGAGCTTCGCTCAGCATAAGTTTGAAGATATAAAGCTAGAGTGTCAGCTGAGCTACGCTCAGCATAAGTTTGAAGATTTGAAGCTAGAGAGGCAGTGGAGCTTCGCTCAGCATAAGTTGAAGTTATAAAGCTATCGAGTCAGCTGAGCTATGCTCACCATAATTTTGAAGGTATAAAGCTTGACGAATATGCCAAATATTCTTTAAAAGTTTTTTAAAAAAAATTTTCATCCAAAGTTGAATTTTATAAAAATCACAGTCAACTTTTGTTTTAAAAAATTCGTAAGAAAGGAAAGTTTTTTGCCATTTCTGAAGCAACGGCTGTTCCTACCTTGCCCAAAAACAATACAGCTCTTCTATAGAGCAGCACGGATCAAATGTAAAAAACTAGAAGTCTCTACGATGTCTCGTTATTGAGATTTCTTGCTGATTAACTTGCTTGCTTGTTTGCTTACAGAAAGCATATTTTGCGATTTTCTCAGCAATGCCACAACCAATTTGAAATCTGTTTTTTGAAAATGATGTAAAATTTCAGGCACAAATTTTTCTTTTTGCCCTTTTATAACCAATTTTGCTTTGTTTTCCCACAAAATGCGAAAAACTGATTTTTCAATCTGAACAAAACCAATAGATTCACACGTGAAAACGGTGTGAATATAATAATTGCCTTTGGTCTCAAAAATAAATCATTAGAGGACTTTATTCAAATAATGGCTGAATGAATTGCATGTCTATAATATTTCTGTAGATCCTCATCGTTTGCGATTATTTCACAGACTTTGCCTCTAGCTATACATGCACGCACAAAATTAATCAACTATAATTTTTATCATCATCAATAGATATAAATTCAATGGATACATGTATCATGACGTTTAAGTAAGTAAGTAAGTGTAAGTAGATAGGAAAAGAAAGATGCTGACAATGATAATACTTTGTTGCTTTTAAATCTGTTTAGTGCTTTGGTAATGAGAAAATAGCTGAAGTAACGTAATAAATGCCTTCATGCTTTTATTATTTAAACGCACATATATTATGGAAGGACGAAGGCAAGCGAAAATGTTTCATGAATCATAAATTACAATTCTCGTTTTGTTCCTTCCTTCCTGCTCCAAACTTACATCAGCATGCTGTAACAGCACTCTGATTCTCACACAAAAGAACTGCCTCAATGTTTTGTTTTTTTCTTCTTCCTTTTGACTGTGTTTGATTGTTTTAACAAAATTTATCGTTTGTGCATCTAGAATATTAATTTGTGAATTATGAAAATCACAAACTGAATTTATGTCTATAACAACAATACATCCTCTCATGCTGATTTGTGCTGCTGCTGGAACTAATTTGGTTTATTTTCAAAAGAATTCTTAAGGCTACAAGTTCTTTGCATGACATTTATTTGTTAATTATAAATTTTAAAGTATATTAAAGTAGATCTTAAGTTAATTTTAATTGATAAGCATTTTTCATAGACATTATTTGACATTTTGTGACTTAAAGTTTACAGAATTAATAATAAAAAAAATGATTCAATTGAAGTCTCAAAAGCAAGAACTTTTCAATTGAATTTCAAATGAAAGAAAAAAATTGAAATTCTCTTAAAACTCAATTCAAGTTCCCAGTTCACAATTCTCTATGCACAGCATTAACGTTTACGATGTTAAAATAACAATGAAAGACAGAATCATCATAATGGTCATCTCATCGTTGTTCAGATTTCGAGATAACTTTAAAAGGGCAGCAAAATGTACTGTACAGTAATGAAATGTAATAGAAACATCAGCAGCAATAATATTGAATACCTATTGTTATGTTAGAGAATGGTAAATGCTAGGCATGCGTATACAAAAACGCGCAAATTGTGAATTCAATTCCATTTGTAATGTTTTATGCCTACTCGAAATTTTGTAGTTCTTTAATATGTTTTCACTTAGCCTACACACGAATACCAAATATTCTTATGCTTGGTTTTGTTTGTCTTCCGCGTATCACACTTTTGCATTACTGTTTTATGGATGATAACAAATTGAAAAAAAGGCGTATCTTCAACTTCAATTCTTGACTTTATTTTGACGGAAAAAGCTTTCTATTTAAATGGAAAATCCTTTTGCATTATTGTTTTATTTGACAAGATGTTATCATCGAATATTGGATATGTCAGTTTACATCAATTGCTTCAATTCATCAAAAAAAGGTTTATGATTCAATTTATTAATTGTTTTTAAAACTGAAAATTGGATATACTCATTATTAAAGTGCATCCAAGAATAGGAGTTTGGGATTCAGAAGCTTAATTTTATTTTTAATTACATAGATATCATTCGTAAATGAAATCAAAGCTTTACCAAAGGCTTAAAAGACAAGTTCAAATGTTCATATAGTTTGTCAGAATCTATAAAGTTAAATGTAAAAATTTTCATATTCTTCGATAACATGATAATATGCTTTATGCTGTGCAAATACAGAAAATATAACATGATGTAGAAGAAACAGACATTTGCATGATCATCAAAGAGAATAATAGAAATGGCAAATTTTGCAGAAAATCAAAAATGCTGAAGCAAACTTTTTCGTTCTCGTTTCTTTTAAATCTGATTTGTCATTCCACATAGCAAAATTGCAGGTGTTTCACATTCACAAATGTATGAGCAACAAAATATCAAAGAAAGTATGGAAACTCGAATTGAAATAAAATTTGCAAGAATAAAAGAAAATAAAAATGGAAATGAAGCAAAATCGAAACTTGCGTCGTCACTCTTTTCACTCTTTTTCACAGTTTTATGGATATACATATCTTGAAAATAATATTTCTGTATCTAGATTGAAGACAAACGAGATGTGTCTCTTGAGATTTAAATAATCTCATCGATTTCATATTGCTTGAGAATGGCAACAGAAAGTCAAAAAGATAATCGATAAAATTCTCAAATACCTGACATTGCTGAGGACCATGTCGCGTTGGAGACGCAGTTTTTGGTCTTGATTTTTTTACTGGTTGTATTGAAGTTGCTGTTGACAAAGAATTTGCTTGCGGTAAATTGGAATTTGATGAGTTTGATATTGTTGCTGTGGTAGCTAACGTTGTCATAGTAATTGGCTGATGCTGTGTAGAAACTACAATCGATGCAACGGATGTCGTTGGTGTTGATGTGGATGTCTTTTGTATTATGTTTGATGTTTCAATAACTTTTGCGACTGTAATGAAAATTGTAATGAATTAATTAATTTTCCGGTCTGGTTTAAATTAGAATTTTTAGAAGCGCTGAAACGATTTACTTCTTGTTTACAATGTAAAGAGATTAATAGCATCAAATTAATCACTTTTGTCTAGTGCTAAATTGTTGTTATAAATAAAAAATAATTAAACTCTGACTCAAGTGATGCTGGGTTATAAGTCCAGAGATTATAAGTCCAGATACAAAAATCATGCACAAAAAATTATAAGTCCAGAAAATAAAAGTTACTAAAGGTTTATAAGTCCAGATACAAAATGCAACTGAACTTAAAAATCTCACGTGCAGTTTATAAGTCCAGGTACAAATACAGCTGGAATTATAAACTGAACGAGAGGTTTTTAAGTCCAGGTACATTTTATATCTGGACTTATAAACCTTACGTGTGGTTCATAATTCCAGAAAATTTATACATTTTACTTATAATCTCCCAGTGCGATTATAAGTCCAGATACATTTTTCTGGACTTATAATCTTTGAAAATTATTTGAAAATATTTTCAATTTTTTTTTCTTTATTAAGTCTCTGTTATTGAACTTTAGTGCCTTAAAGTTGAACATCATAAAAAATCTTTATCACTAGATATTTACTAAATCCTAAATGTAGCAGCTGATGTTTTTAGCACTTTTAGAAGCATTTTAAATTAGCGATTTAAAAGAAATCAATCAGAAAATCCAAGATGACTGAAGTTTTTTCGACTTCATACATTCTCAATTTTACTCTAGCACCAGTTGGGTTTCGATCATGTATATGTCAACGTATATGAGAAAGTAATAAGATAGATCAGGAGCAGGACGAATCTTACATTTCTGTATACTCGTAATGAACATTTCATTTATACTTTTCTTTAGTTTTTGTGAATTCTACAGATGAGTTGAATTTTAAAAAAATAAACTTTTTTGATCCATAAAATTTGATCACACCGTATTCACGTGTGAAAGTATTGTTTTTGTTTAGATTGAAAAATCAGTTTTTCAAATTTTATGAGGAAATGGAGCAAGATAGCTTAACATGTCGAAAGATGAAAAGTTTGTGCCTGAAATTTCACATCTTCTATAAGCACAGATTTCAAATTGGTTGCGGCATTGCTGAGAAAATCGCAAAATACGCTTTTTCTAAGAAAACAAGCAAACATGCAAGTTAATCACCAAGAAATCTCAATAACGAGACATCTTAGAGACTTCTAGTTTTTTGCATTTGAACCGCGCTGCTCTATAGAAGAGCTGGATTGTTTTTGGGCAAGGTAGGAACAGCCGTTGCTTCAGAAAAAGCAAAAAATTTTCTTTTTACGATTTTTAAAAACCAGAGGTTATTTTGATTTTTATAAACTTAAACTTTGGATGAAATAAATTTAAAAAAAACTTTTAATAACTTTTGGCATATTCGGTAAGCTTTAAACTTTCAAACATTGAGTATACTGAGTTTCATATATTATTATACGCATTGAGTTTTAAAATATCATTTTTTACACGGATTAGGAAAATAAAAGCTCTAAATTTTTCGAAAACATAAATTTACTTCAAAAAAAAATTCGTTTAATTTCTTATCTTTGTATGATGATACAAAAAGTTTTTTGACTTTTAATTTTTAGTTCCAAAGAATTGAAAATTATCCTTGATTAAGGCATGAAAAATCTTAATAAGTTATTATCAAGGGGTATAATGAAATACAGCAGCTTAAAAGGATATATAAGGTACTTTAGAGGAAAAAAATTATCAAATGTGAATTCTTTGTGTGAAGTTTTCAAAAATTCATGTGTAGCCTTAAAGAAAAAAATTTAAAATAAGTTAAATAAGTTTCAAATAATTTTCAAAGATTATAAGTCCAGAAAAATGTATCTGGACTTATAATCGCACTGGGAGATTATAAGTAAAATTTATAATTTTTCTGGAATTATGAACCACACGTAAGGTTTATAAGTCCAGATATAAAATGTACCTGGACTTCAAAACCTCTCGTGCAGTTTATAATTCCAGCTGTATTTGTACCTGGACTTATAAACTGCACGTGAGGTTTTTAAGTCCAGGTGCAATTTATATCTGGACTTATAAACCTTTAGTCACTTTGATTTTCTGTACTTATAATCTCTGAACTTATAGTTTCTGGACTTATAACCCAGCATCGACTCAAGTTAATCACACAATTAGCCTTACAATTAAGTCATTCGTACCTGTTTCTTGTTTAATTGTCGTTATGTTATTGGCAGTTTTGAAAAATTGTGCACTTTGATGCTGCCGTCCATTAGTAACAATATCATAGGTTGCATCGCTGCCAGCAGCTTGAAATGTACCCAGAACATCTGCCAAAATTTCAGGATCTGGATATCCAATTGTCAATGCATTATTTATGGTTGTGGAATCTGAAATTGGTGCTTGAACTGCTTCGCGTAATTGCAGTGTAACTGATCCTTCTGCTCCCATCGATGCACTGCACATAAGCAATCGAGGCGGTGCAAGACCAGTTAATGGTAATCGTAAACCCGTTTGAACCTGCATAAAGAAGGAAAGTATGAAGAATTAAGCTCATTAAGTTACAGAAACAAACACAAAAAAATTTCAGAATAGAGAGTTTGGATATTTGCGAAACATAATCTCATTATAACCTAAAGCTCAATAGAAACAACAATAAATGGAACAAGAATAATACAGCATACAACATACAATAAAGCAACAAAATCGAAACTTTTTCGTTTTTCATTTTATTTTATCGATTTTCGTATTATCATCATAAAGTACACGATTTTCCATACAGAATTTTCCTTTTTATCGCAAACTTTTTCTTCGGCTTGCTTCTCTCTTACTTCATATAAACTTTTTACCTCCAATTATTCTACCTCATCTTTCTTCATATTTTCTCACTCGCTCAATTTTGTATTTCGAAAATTAACCTTTCAATAAAACAATAGCAATAAAAAGTTTATTTGATTCTGTTTCCATCTTTTCCATCCATTCCTTTATTTCGTTTTCTTCTTGTGTTTGTTTCAACAATCTTTTCTCGTTTCTCAATATGTTTTCATTCATGTAGATGCATTTTCTTCTGTTGCTTTCTTATAAATTTTATTAGGCTTTTAATGCCAAAATTTGAGAGAACATTTTATAAGTTTTTTGTGTGAATAATCTATGCATGTCAGGGGTCAGGGGTGTACCAATATACAATTTTTGAGTAGGGGGGTTTCGGATTTTTTTCTCAAAAACCGCTAGGGATGGTTCAATAATGACGTCGAATTCGAAGAATTTCTATTGTTCTAGAGCTCTTTTCCTTCCCCCTTTGACGTAATTTATGGATGGCCCCCAAGTTCATAAAGGTTTTGATCATTTCATTAGCACCACACCCTTGTCTACTGGCTACGCCTCTGATTTATACTGTTTTAGCTATTGTTTATGAGTAACATCTTCAAGAACTCTAAGGGGTCGTTCACTTATGACGTCCATCAAAAAACCTGATTTTTAGTCCCCCCTCCCCCCCTCTGTCATAAAAATTCTATAGAAAAAAAATTTCCGTTGTTTGAACTGTCACAAAATCCTAGACCCCCCTCCCCCCCTAAATGTCGGACGTCATAAGTGAACGTCATAAGACGTATGTGAGAAAATTTTCAGTTTTTGCTTTCTGGCAATTTTCCCATTTAATAGCTATGCTCTGATGACACACAGAAGATTAATTTTAGTGTATTTATCTCCATCTCTATCTTTATCTTCTAATATCTTTAGTTTCAACACAAAGTGTTGTTTAGGATCCACACTCATAAATAAAAGTCATAGGGAAGCAACATTGGGAATTATAAAAAAAAATCCGTGTTGAAATGTGGGGATAAGTGTTTGATCTTTAGTATGCCATAGAGGAAGTTATTTAAATTTATCAGCTGCAAATTTTGCGTGGTATTTTGGCGTTTAAACATTCAAAATTGTTTATGTATTGTTAATTCGAATGACTAAGAAGAGATTAATTTGCAGTTGAATATGTTGTTGGTAATTTGAGATGAATTTAATTAATTTGAATTATTCACTCCTACTCTAAGTTTACGTGCTATTTTACACGCTTTTTTTTTGTTTAAAAAATTTTAAAACCTCAAATTTAATATTAGAGAAAAGAATTTGCCAAAAATACTACAAACTGGATGAAGCCACTTAAAACAAAAACATACCAAAAAAACTGTCATGAAAAGCATGTAGAAAGGTGTAAAAAAAACTAAACATGTATTGGTAAGATGTGAAGCATGATGATGACTGTGAAGAAAATTAATGTGACAATTTGCGAAAATATTTTAATGGATCGTATAACAAGAAACGGACAAAAGAAATACGTGAATTCCACAGCAACTGTCAGAGGTCAGCTGGCGCTCTAAATCAATTGTAATCATGAAGCGTTTTGTATTGTTGTCACTTTTTTGGCCATCACTATTAATAGAAACTTTATTACGAGAGACGCTTCATCCATTACTGCCTCAATTTATTTTCTTTTGTCACGAGAAGATGAAAACTCATATCAGACATGCTGAGGCAAAACTAAAAAAATATTTTTTAGACAACTTTTTCAACAAGACTTTTTATCTTTTTAAAAAAGGCTTTTCATGTTTTTTGTGGGATTTAAAATTATGCTCAGGACACGTTCAACTTTTTTTTTGTGAGATAAAAAGTTTTAATCTCTTAATTTTCGTTGGCGTAGGCAACTCTCATTCTTTTTATTACTCTATCCTATTGTTGCCATGGCTTTCAATATTTTTCCGCTCCAAAAACCATTTTCATTCAGTTTGCCTTTATTTTATCTCATCATCTCCTATTTCCCACTGGATTCCTCTTGAAACCATTTATTGATTTAGTTGTTGGTAGAACTAGAATAAATTTTCTGTTTGCTTATTTGTACATGTGCATTTGCGATTGTTTATTGTTGAATGGTCAAAGCATGAATAAAGGCTGATTAATGATTTTGCAATCGGTTTGTGCTCTCCTTGTTTATTCATTTACCTACTGATGTTTGTTCACTCAGCATATTTATTTGCTGTTGCTATTTCTGCTTTTATTCAATTCTAGAATATAACAATTATAACGGATAGTTTTTTTTTTATTTATGTTAACCATTTCAAACTGCTTTTGTGTCGATAGTATAAAAAATATCTCTCATTTTCTCACTCAGCAGTACCAAAAACTTTTTTAATCTTTCCTATGGTTTTATTTACTAACAACCCTTATCACATCAGCATACAAATACAACAACCTCACAGCAGTGCTTCTCTTCTTTTTCTCCTTATTTTCTTCCATATTGCTTGCATATAGATTATAATAATGGAATCGTAAATCACTTTTTTATTGGAGCATGAAATGAAGATTCCTTTTTTTGTGAGGGAAAAGGGAATATTCTTTGTGTATATAAGGTGAATTATTCCTATCCACAAACACATCTCTACAAAATTTATATCCTCATGCTAATCGATGCTCATTAGCGCTTTTAAGAATGATTTACGATAATATAGATTTAGTGTTATATTCATGTGTTGGTTATAACTATTTCCTTCTTATCTTTTTAGTAGTCATTAACGAAATCTTGGATTTATGTCCTATTATAGAAATCTCAATGTGGTCAAAAAATTAGAAAGTGTTTATTCGTTTGGATCAATTATCGGATTAAATAATAATTTATTGATAAGGACGCTAGAGTTCTTAATATTCCCACATTCGCAGAAGGTCTTGAATGATGGAGCTGTCTTTAGACGTGCGCCCCAGCCAAGGAAGTAAGGCGTAAGTAAAGTAAGAATAATAATTTATATACGAACTCTTGAATTAAGAGTTGAAGTTGGATGTGTCAAAATTATATTTTTTTTGCTGTGAATCTTCACCTAAGCCGTTGCTATTGATGAATCATCAATGAAAAACCCCATTAAATAAATCAAACGTTTGCTAGGAACTTCGCATAATTTAAATTAACTCACATCATTAATGTCATGCGAATGCCAATAAGCGCTTAAATATATTTCGCAAAAATACCAAATCTATAAATTAAAAGCTAAATAATTGATCATTATTGATTGCTAAAGCACACACATAGCAGTAGCAATATTTGTGGGAAAGGATTATATGAAATAAAATATTATGTAATTAAAACTTATTCATTAGGATTATAGATTATGGTACTTGCATATTGGAAATTATACAGTTCGATACAGTACAAAGAGAGAGAGAGAGAAATGAATGCTTAAATATATCACTTTATAATTTTAAAAATAAATCTCATGCACACAGCGGAAATGAACAGTTTCACGGTTGCAAAAGATAAATTACATTAAATTATCTCATAGCTATACACAGTGAGAGTAAAGCACATAATAATGAGATTAATCGGTTTTCATTTGATGAATCATTGTTCAAGAAACGAGTATGCATGCCAAAAAAGCTTTTTATTAAATAAAATTTTAGAGAAAATCTTTCAAACTAAATAATTGGTGAAGAGTGATGCATAATAATAGTGCATTTATGCATATGCAAGACATGAAAGTTAAAGAGACGCCATTTAAACCTTCGTACATGTATAACTCGATACATCAAAACTTTTTTAATTAAAATTTTTCCCTCTTATTCCTCAACTCTATATATTTTTTTTGTTTTTGTTTCTACTTTCACGCTTTATATTACATTGCATGTATTTTGTGGCAATGCAGTTTCTGCAAATGATTACAGTCATTATAAAGAGTGTTGCAAACATCTCATACTTTGTATGCTTATAAAAATAGACAATAAAAAGTTTGTATATTTAAATATGAATGCTTATTAGAGATTCTCAAGTCATATTGCATTGAGCATGCCTGTCATATGGAAAAAAAATTTAAATAATATTTTAACCTCAAAGTTTTCATCACAAAAAAAAACTATTAGATTTAAAAGTGCTGTTATAAAAACTTTCCGATCTAAACCTCTAATTTATGTCGTGCAGTGAGACGACATATGATACATGTGCAAAAAAATAAAGTAAATGACATATTCCTATTGTAATCTCTACTATTCTGCTATTCAGTCTAGATGAAATTGCATTGTGTTTTACATTACATTTCGCTTCGAGAAACTTACGGAATTTACAGCCATTTTTAATTACGAGAAGTGTATCTGCAATTAAAAAAAATGTGTATTATTATGAGTGAAAAATATGTCACTGTGATTTAGCTTTTAATAGCATAAAAAAATAATTTTGCTGTTTTCTGAGGGAATATAGAGCATTGCAATTTATTTAAAGCATGCTGTCTATGATAAATTTTCATGTTTTTTGTCTTCCTTCTCTCTTATGAATAGTTTTAATTATCTCGTATGCATTTGCATTAAAAGACGTATTTAGTAGTTAAATATAATTAAAAAGTGTGAAATATATTACAATTATGTCAAATGAGTATAGGTTCAAATTACATATTGAGATGATTTTGGAATAATGGAATTGAGATGATTTTGGAATAATAGAATTGAAAGCTTACATTAGAAAGAGTTGAAAGGTATAGAAAAGTATAAGTTAAATTATTAAAATTATTTGGTTATTTAATGGATATAAATCTGAAAATAAGTAACTTAATAGACAGCTTTATGTCATAAATAGGTACTTTTATTTCAAATAATAATTAATAGTACTTTTAAAAATATATTTTTTGATATTTTTTTGTTTTAACATGAGTTAATGAACGATCTTGTTGAAATTCACATTAGGAGAAGGAATAGAATCAGTCAAATGTAAATGATACTCCAGCATCGTATAGAAATCGTTTCAAAAGATTTAATGTAAACAGGAACTACAGAAATCTCAACGAGAATACTTCATTTGATCTCCTATAGACCTTAACATTTTCATAATTTAAATATCATCACATCATGAATGATTAATAATTGACATTAACGAGTAAATTTCAAGTAATTAAGGCGTGAATATGAAAAAAAAAACTTCCAACTGTGTGGAATAAACAGAGATTTGAGAAAGAGCGTATTTGAAATCTTCATGTACTAATGTTTATTAAAGTTTAAATGAATTGATTAAATAAAACATTGAAGATCTTACAGGAGTTTCGAGAAAAAAAAAGAGTAAATTATTTCCTATGAAGCAGACGATGGAAAGTGCTTTAGATTTTCTCAATGAGATATTAGATCTGAATGTAGATATGAGTAAAAAAACAAGCAACTCTTTAATTCGCAAAGTCATTAATCTTGAATTTTTGCTCACTTCTCATCTCCTTCTCCACAAAATTCTTCTTGATGTAAATAATTCTGTTCATTTTTTTCAGCACAATAAAAGTTAAATGGAATTCTGCGCTGTTGTGTTAAATTTATTAATCATTGAAGATCTTCACAACATTAGAAAGTTTTTAATGTGATTTTCGATTTATTGTTTTTTTGTTCTATCTGAAAATATCATTATTCGTTGGGATGTTATCCAGATTTACTTCTAATGCAAATTAATTTAATTTATTCTAGCATTTAGTAAGTTATGGATTTGCTGGTTAATAATTTAGGAGTAACATTTTCGAACATAGAAGATAACCTAGTTTAAATGTATACATCATTAAAATAACATTATCAAGATCCAAATGAGGAGTCAGGTCATGAATTGGGTATCAAATCTGTCTCAAGTGTTAATAATTTTGTTTTTAATTTGCAAAGGATTTTATAAAAATAATCTCTCAAAAATCTTTCCTTTTGGACTGTCACAAAAGACTATTGTTTTATTTTAAAAATTCAAAATTAATTCTTTAGAATTATTTTAACATCAGAACCGACCATGTTCATCATAACAAGGTTAACATGGAATCGCCATGAAATATATAATCTACCGTCACCCCACATTTTTCTTATTTTCTGAACAAAACTTTAATTTTATTTACAAATCTTTTATTGTGTAATAACTCCGATGCAAGATTGTTGATGACAATTTTGCATGCTGATTTCGAAATACATTTTTATCGTCTACAAATGTTGTGTTTTCAGCCTTAAATTATTGTGATGAATTTTCTCACAGATCAACAACCTTGTTTTACGTAGAGAAACTATAAATAAATAATTTTCTTATTACTCAGACCAAAACTTATAACAAGTAATTTTTCTTAAAGAATTAAGAGATTTATTTTTTTTTGGAAGCAACGTAGCATATTCGTGAATATGAAGACTGTTGTGGTTATTAAGTTTATAAAAATATGAAGCAGTAAGAAATGACGATTTTCTATCATGAAAATATAGTTTCCATTAGTTAAATGAACTGCTAATGATCCTAAACATTTCTTCTTATTTCGACAAAAACCATTTAATTTTGTAGATTGTAGGAACAGTTGTGTCTAACACATTTCAAAACATAGGAAAATTGTTGTGGTTAAAAGATGTAACTTTGTGAAAATCTGTGAGGTGATGATTAATGATTTTAAGTGAAAATTCTGCGAAAAAAAAGAAAATAAGGAGGGATAAAAATTTTCAGCGATAAACATATTTTATTCCAGAATGGTTGCTTATAACAAAGTGTTCTTTACAGCACGAGCATGAAACTGAGAAAATTCGAAGGAAAATAGTCGAAAAGATGTGGGTTGTTTTTGTATGTCGCTAACGCCATTAGTCTTGGAATTTATGACGAAAATAAACGCGAGACAATCTGCTTTAAGCTTGCAGATAACACATTCCTTTAAGTCGCTTAACAAAAAGAGATATGTAGTCGTGTTTTATGTTTCAATTAATTTAATTCGAGTTATACCGCTGTTGAGAAGTGAAAAAAAAATTCTCTCAAATTAATTCGCGCATTGTGTGTTTTATTGCTTCAGCACCCATGGCGTTTCGAATTCGACAGAGAAAAAAAAGAGGAAATTTGAGAAATTGTACAACAATATTATATACACATTAAAACAGTTGAAAATGCGACGAATAGGATTAATAACAATTGCTTTTCAGAAAGGTTTATATCGTGTTTTTGCTTTAAATTTTCGAATGGAACCAGAATTGCTGGCATGAAAAATCGTTTTCAATCTTCCATGTTGCTCAAATGAATCTCCTTTTATTGGGAATTTTCTCGTTTAATTTACAAACATTTTATTATTTATTAAAGTTCTGTAATATTTTTAATTTTTATAATTCAAACATGTTCTTTGAAAATTCATTTTTTTATGATCTTGAACGCTTAGCTTTGAATTAAATCATATTATATAAGAACCCAATGCAATCCAATTCACAAATGAAAATTTAAAAAGCATGGAAGCTCATGAATTGGTAGCTTAAGTCACGATTTTTTTGTTGTTTTCATTAATTGACAGCGACAGGTGTCCGTAGAATGTGTAACTATAACCAATTAAACATTTACTTCATTCGCTTATTTTCACTCATACGGTATACTCCGATGAGAATGAGAAAATGCTATACAACATTCAACCGAGATTAAATTTGTGTATAAATTTTCAAAAAAAAAAGAATCATCAACTAGTTGATGGAAATGTTTTTTGAATGATTCAAGAGAAGAAATTAAAATCGTGAAAATGTAATTTGAGACGATGATGATACATGCCGCACACATTTCTCTCTCTTGGCGATTTCATATCACAAGGAGACAAAAAGAATTAATGTGGCAAAGTATCATCATCATTTAAATAATCAAATGATTTTATTCACCGGCATTTACCATAAATTTTACTCCTCCACGAATTACTTGAAAAGTGTGTATGCCATTCGCAAGTCTGTTGTGGTTCATTTCTTAATAATATTTAGTTTTCCAAACTTTATTTTTTGGTTCCCTTGAAATTAAACCTTTCAAAATTTCAATGGAAAATGTAAATCAAAAAAAGATTTAATTACTGCAACCTACATAAATGGCGCTTCATTAGATTGTAAATATAATAAAACCTTTATAAGATTTGCTAATAATTATTGTTAAGGTCTTCCCACATATGTTCGTAAATGTAAAATCAATTTTCTTTTATCAACTGTCGAAAAGATATTGTTAAAACATTCGATCTGTTTTAGATTTAATAAATATGTATTGAGAAAAATGTTACAATGACCTTTCTGTCACTCATCAATAACGTCTGATGTTTATATTGTATAATTTTTTCTTACTTCTAAATAAACTTTTTTTCCTTTTGATTTTGTAACTTGTTTATATTGAAACAATTTTTATGGGGAAAATACCTCCCTTTAGGAAATATACGAGGATATACATTTCATTATTCTCTTTCTGCATGTTCTACTTGAGCAAAGCTAAATTACAAAGTCAAATGTTTAGATACTTTTTATGTGAATTTAGATACAAAATAAACTTCTTCACTGTTTTGATTTCATCAAAAGGTCAGTTTGTTTGAATTTATTTTCTGTGATTCATTCAATCCTTTTGTTTCATGTGAAAAAGCATGTTAAACAGTTAGAATTTTCTGGTTCTTTTAATTAAGGACTAGGATTTTATTCGCTTGCATTTGAATTAATTTTTAAAATATTTAAAGTAAATCATTGGAATCGAAATTTAATCATGAAAATAATTTCTTTTCTTAAAAAACAAAAGAAATTAATGACGTCATTTTCAACTGCCCCCAAATATAAATTATGAAAAATAGCGTCAATGTTTGGAAGTAAAAACTTTAAACACAAATTGCTGATATATCTTTGAACCCACTTGATTCCATAAAATATTTCACTGTTTTATTAAAAATCTCACAAAAGATTATAATCTCGTGCTTCCATCTTGATGATGTTTTCAAAATACGATCAAATTCATCTACTCTTTGAACTTTTTAATTCAATTTTTGACTCATCTTTACACCTTTGATTATTCAGATGAAACCACGGTTGCATAAATGTTTTGACTTAATCGTGTATAAATTTAAGAAAAATATTTTTTTCCCAACGATTGCAGGTGCTGCACTAAAGTTTCAAGGTCAAATCATTTGAAAACTTAAATTTGACGATTTGTATAATTTACATTTATTTTTTATATTATTTATTTTATTAAAAGCTTTGATTCAATTAAAAACGAAAAATTCGATTAATTTCTAAAAACACTACAAATCTTAGGTTTGAAAATAGTTCTTACAATATATACTTTAAAATCTTTCCGAAGATTAATATTACCGAGACATGTAATTTGTAAAGACAACAAATGTTGACTGACA